GCGTATGCAAATTACCCCGCCATTTTTTTGTTGGGTTAATTTGCATATTCACTCCTGGTTGGCTGGTATGCGTCATGAAGTTATGGGCAATTTGCATCTTTCTCTTTTATTAGTGTAGATTTTTTTATTGTCTAAAGTTTTATATATGTCTTTTACTTGACCTCCACCCCCCACAGCCATTCCCACCCCAGGCAAGCATCCACTGCCTCAGGGTCTGTGTCCATTGGTTATGCTAATATGCACGCATACAAGTCCTTTGGTTGCTCTCTAACCTCCCCTCCCCTACCATTTGTCTCTGGATCTATTCTTGTTCATCAAATTATGTTGATCATTATATCCCACATATGAGTGAGAGCCTGTGATATTTATCTTTCTCCAGCTGGCTTATTTTGCTTCGCATAATGCTCTCCAGTTCCATCCATGCTGCTGAAAATGGTAAAAGTTCCTTCTTTTTTATAGCACCTTTGCCCATTTTTCAATTGAGTTGTTTGTTTTGTGTTGAGTTTTATGAGTTCTTTATGTATTTTGGATAGTAAGTTTTTGTCAGAGCTATTGTTCACAAATATCTCATTCAATCATGTCTCTTTGTTTAGTTGTCAGTTTCTTTTGCGGTGATAGAATTTGAAGTGTGATAGCCCCAGTTATGCTTCCCCGCCCCCCCCTCAAGATTGTTATGGTTATTAGGGATCTTTTGTGGTTCCATGAAAATCTTATTTTTTTTGTTCTATTTCTTTAAAGAATGACATTAAGATTTTAATGGGAATTGCATTGTCTGTATATTACTTTGGGTAATATGGTCATTTTAACTATGTTGATTCTTCCAATCCATGAATACAAGATATTTTTCCATTGTGTTATTTATATTTTCCATCTCTTTTAATAATGCTTTGTAGTTTTCAGTATATAGGTCAGTAGTTCATTGCTAATGTCCTTAATTGCATGTTTCATTTCCAGGATTAGATTTGTTCTTTTTTAAAACTTCAATCTCTTTGGTAAAATATTCATTTTGTTCATTAATTTGTTTTCTGAGTGCCTTGAATTGCCTATCTATTTTCTCACAGCTCATTGAGTATTTTCAGAACTACAATCTTGAATTCTCGGTCATTTACATACATATTTCCATGTGTTCCAACTAGGGTTATATCCTTGAGAGTTTTAAGTGTATTATTAATAAAGCAGCCAGAGTGATCTCTTAACAGTGTAAGCCAGATTTTGTTGTTTTCCTGTTTAAACTCCAATTGCTTATCTCATTCAGAATAATAACCAGAGTCCTATGGCTCATAAGGCCCTACTACATATACCACTCCCCTTGCTCCATCCCCCAAAAACTCAACTTTGCCTTGACTTCCCTTGCCTTTGGAGTCAACTTCATAAAATGTTCTCTATGACCAAGGTCCATAAGTTTAGTACCTATGCTGTATTCTATGTAATTTATTGTTTCTGATCTTATATTTAGGTCTTTGATCCATTTGAGTTAATTTCTGTACAAGGGGACAAGCTATAATCCAATTTCATTTGTTTTCATGTGTCTTTCCAATTTTACCAACACCATTTATTAAAGAGGCTTTCTTTTTTTTTTTTTTTAATCTTCCTTTCTTTTTTAAAACTTCAATCTCTTTGGTAAAATATTCATTTTGTTCATTAATTTGTTTTCTGAGTGCCTTGAATTGCCTATCTATTTTCTCACATCTCATTGAGTATTTTCAGAACTGCAATCTTGAATTCTCGGGCATTTACATACATATTTCCATGTGTTCCAACTAGCTTTTTGGAGAGTTTTCATTTTCTTTCTGAGTTTCCTCATTACCATGGCTATTCATGGTATTTGCTGGTCTTCTCTGTCTAGGCATCTATTATGCTGCTGACCTCTCTCAACCAGTTTTCTCTGAAGAGGTCGTTCTACTATTTTCCAGTAGGTGGCACAGAATCACAAGATTTTTATCTTTGTGACCTCCCAGAGCTGGCTTCCTTGACTTTCTTCAGAAAGTTCAGTTGAGCTGCTTGGGGGTGGGGTTTATTTTGTCCCCACTATAATGATGACCCTGGACCTCCATGGGGTCCTCCCAGTGTGCCCCACCTGGGGATCAGTCATAGAGGGAAACCACAATTCTATTGCAATAGCTTTTGGTTTGCAGATAATGTGCTCCTCGACCTAATACCAAGGGCAACTGGACATGAGTTTCGGGAGTTCAAGGTGTGGCAGAGGCCCGTGGCTCCATTTCTTTGTCTGAAACATCATTGCCCAACAGCAGACTGTTGTGGCACCATCCCTCTGCTGTGTCCTTGCCCTCTATGCTGACTCAGCCACTATTTGCACTGTTTGCCTGCTGGAGAGCCCAGCTTGACTCTCTGTTCCTCCAGACCAGCGGTCGGCAAACTCATTAGTCAACCGAGCCAAATATCAACAGTACAACAATTGAAATTTCTTTTGAGAGTCAAATTTTTTAACCTTAAACTATATAGGTAGGTACATTGTTATTAACTTAATTAGGGTACTCCTAAGGCTTAGGAGGAGCCACACTCAAGGGGCCAAAGAGCTGCATGTGGCTCGCGAGCCGCAGTTTGCCGACCACTGCTCCAGACCCACGGAAGAGCCTGCTACCACCAGCTTCCTCCCCTCTCTGGGCCAAGTTGCTGGGCTGCATCTGTGGTTGTTTGGGCTCTTCTCTCTTGTTGCCTCCTCATTTATTCGCAGTTGCTCACCATTAAATGCTTCAATGCACGGGTCTGTCAGGTGTGCTTCTATATTGAGCAGGGAATTTTTTGTTGATATTTTTTGAGTTATAGTTGATAAACTTGTTGAAGTTTCTAGGCAGCAGGCCAAGGGGATCTCTCACACTGCCATTCCTCTGATGTAACTCATCATTTATTTAAAAGATTTTCTTCACTACCTAATATTTGCAAGATACTGTATGGGATTAAAAATTTAAAGGCACAATGATTTATAACCTTGAGTAATTTATAATTATTTGAGGAAATAGACATGTGGCCAACTCTAAATACAGTAAGTAGATGTATAGGTGGGTCATGGGTTAACTTAGATATAAGGTACCATTTGATTTGGATATTAATGAATTAATTATATTTTTGGAAATAAAAATAGGATAATTTCTTGCTTGAGGAGCAAAATCAGACTCACAGGATTTTACAAGTCTCTTTGTCATGGAATAGTCCTCTTTTGCCTATTCAATATGTGAGGGAGAGGATAGTTAACAGTGACCAAACTGATAAAGCAATTTAATATTGAATGCCCTTTGTTTATGGTTTCATCAGGTGCATTCGTGGGTACCAGTCCACCAGATCACTCACCATTCCTGGTGCTAGCAAGACCACCTGACAACTCAGTTACTGTCATATGTAATGACAGCAACAGTGGCCAACAGAATGTTACTAGATTTTTGTGAAATTCTCAGGTAATATTTGATTTCCAAAATTTATACTTTCCCACAGGGTATTAATATAATAGTATTAATTTGAGTTGTGTCATTTTCTTCCTTTAGGTGACAGGAGAGTGCACCTACCAAATGAGTCAATGTATAGAGCCAATCATTCTGTGGTGTCTGAGTTTGTGTTCCTGGGACTCTCCAGCTCCTGGGAGATCCAGCTTCTTCTTTTTTGCTTTTCTTGTCTTTTCTACGTGTCCAGTATGATGGGAAACCTCCTCATCGTGGTCACTGTGACGTTCGACCCTTACTTACACGCCCCCATGTATTTTCTATTAGCCAACCTCTCCATAATTGACATGATATTTTGCTCCATTGCAGCACCCAAGATGATTTGTGATCTTTTCAGGAAGCAGAAAGTCATCTCCTTTGGGGGTTGTTTAGCTCAGATTTTCTTTAGCCATGCTGTCGGGGGTACTGAGATGGTGCTGCTCATCGCCATGGCCTTTGACAGATATGTGGCCATCTGTAGGCCTCTCCACTACCTGACCATCATGAGCCCACGACTGTGCATTTTGATTTTAGTGGTTTCCTGGACTATTGGTCTCATTCACTCTTCGGCCCAGTTGGCATTTGTGGTAAACTTGCCCTTCTGTGGGCCTAATGTAGTAGACAGCTTTTACTGTGACATACCTCGGCTCGTCAAACTTGCTTGCACAGACATTGTGGTTTTTAGAAAAAATCACTAAGTGGCTTTATTGAAACACAAAATTTCCAAGTGACTCTTCATAAATTTTATGTCCCTAATAGCCAACCTTCATGGAGAATGAACCATCTTTCTTAGATCTTGTTATTTTGTTTGAAACATATTCCTTTGAGCCTTCATTTTGCTGACTGCCTGTGGTGGTTTCCATGCATTAGATAAAGCAGCCATTGCTCTCAGTCTTGAAAAAGTGGTTTCATATAGGAGATAAACCTTATTGTTCAACCCTGCCCTAACTCTTGGTTATCTCTCACACTTTCTAATTTAATTTCATTTATTTATTTTGTTAACCCCTACGGAGCATATTTTTTAAAATTGATTTTCAAAGAGAGTGGAAGGGAAGGAAGAAGGGAGGGGTAAAGAGAGAAAGAAAGAGAGAAATATTGATATGAGAGAGCCACATCAATTGATTGCCTCCCACACACCCCAACTGGGGCTGGGGAATAAACTCACAACTGAGGTACATGCACTTGACTGGGAATTGAACCCATGACCCTTCAGTGTGTGGGCCAACACTCTAACTACGGAGACACACTGGTCAGGGTCAGCCCATTTAATTTTTAATGGCTCCCAGTAGTTGAGGGTGTGCCAAGACCTGTCAGTGTCTCAAGGAGAGGATCTTGGTCAGCAGCAAGATTCAGGATGATTGAAAGCCAGATCTTCAGGTAGCAATTTTTAAAGTTTGTAAAGCCTATGGGACTATATATATTTACAAACATAAGCCCCACTAACCACCAGTGCCAGGCAATCCCCTGGATAGCAGTTACAATAATTGGGGTTTCAAACGAATATATAAGCTCCTATTTGGGAGATAATGATGAGTTCTGTGAAGCAGAGGAGGTTTCCCATCATACTGGACACGTAGAAAAGACAAGATGGTGGGCTCTTGCCTCATTTCTTTAAGAGCAGGTCTGTCCCTAGGCCCCTATATGTGGGCCAACCTAAAGCTTTCCCCTCAGGCCAAAGCTCCAGTACAGGCAAATAGGCCTCTTTCACAGAAAGACTGGGCTGTGTTTCAGTCTGCTGTCTGTGCTGTGCACTGAGGGTGGTAGTCCTGCCAAGAACTGTCTCTCCAATTTTTATAGTCTTTTGGGACCCAGGAACCCCGGCCTCCCTGGCCACCAGGGCCAGGTGTTCAAGCGACACCCTCTGGATGGCAGCCACGAAGACCAGGGCACCAGACACCCATGTAAAAGCTCCCCTTGGGGAGATACTAACACTCTAGAGCAGTGATTTTTAACCTTTTTCATCTCGTGGCACATAAACTACTAAAATGCTGCAGCACTCCAAAATATATTTTATATTTTAGGCAGAACTGATAAAAAAAATAGGTAAATTTTGTGATTCATTCACACCAGACAGCTATTGTGTTGGCTCTTGTCATTTCTTTAATTTGACAATCTAAGGGAAAAGAGGTCAGTGCCCCTGACTAAATAGTTAGGTATTGGATGTTTTAAACATTCTTGGGGCACATGGGTTGAAAAGCATTGCTTTAGAGCTCTGCATAGGGAGAGTGAGAAGATGGCGATGGCCAGTCTCTTCCTGGAGAGCGCCCCCAGCAGGCCCTCAAATGTGTGTCAGGTCACATGCCTTACCTCAGGCTCATGCTCCAAGGCAGGCAAAAAACAAAGGAGCTTCTCCCACACCAGGTCCAGATAGCCCTTGACCACCATTTTCACACTGGGCCCTGGGGCAAGTGAGTTCTGCACCTGAAAAGCAGTTTCTCAGATTATTATAGCCTTGATGGTTTTGTGGATGACAGCCCTGTTAGTTTTCAAGCTAGATGTCTTGGGGGATTGTCACTGGTTGGGGTGCCTGTTGTAGGGTTAAAACCCTTTGCTCCTCAGGGAGAAGCTCCAGATTTTGAGTTCTTCCCAACTATGGGTCACTGTGCCTGGTGCAGGGTGACGAGATTGTGTTCTAGCCTCTCCTACCTGCTCTCCTTGGCTCGATGTGTAGGAGTCACTTAGCCAGTTTTTTGTTTTTTTTTCCCAGAGGAATTTGATCCAAATGTAACTGTAGATTTGGTATGTTTGAGGGAGAAGGTGAGTTTAGGGCCCTCTTAGGTGCCATCTTGAACTGGAACCAGGACCGTTTTCTGCGATACATCACTGAGGGTATATGGACGTTTAGCACCATATTCTCCTGTATTTTGTTTCACTGAAGAATGGGTGACATTCTTTCAGATAAGACAGAGAGACTTTTATATGGTAGGTATAGAAATAAAAGATCATATTAAGTTCCCAAATTACTGTGCCAATAATACCTTTCACATATGTTAAATTATGATGTAAATAAGTATTTTTCAGAAGAACCATACTATTTTTTTCAAGGTACTCTGCCCTATTTTGGGTACATTTGTTAAAACCATGTTTCATTATCTGCTTGTATCCCATATCCCCCTTTTCACTTGTTCTGCTTTGTTATTTCAGCCTTTTGGTTATGCGCAAAAAGTAGCAATCATCTTTAGATCTGTGGTTACTTACACATTCTAATTCACAAATCTTGCTTTCATACTTTGTTCTATATGTTCAAGAATGTTCTTGACTTTATTTTTAGTCAAGTAAATCAGGTGTTAGCAAACTTTTCCTGTAAATGGCCAGATTGTTTTGTTTTTGTAGGTTGTATGATCTCCTTTGCAACCGCTCAGTTCCACTGTTGTAGCATTGAAATAGCCATAGGCAGCACATACGTGAATAGACATTGCTGAGTTTCAATAAAACTTTATTTACAAAAACAGGAAGCATGCCAGATTTGGGATGGCCAACAAATAGATTTCTCTATTCCCCACAAATATCATAGTCTTTGTCTTAAATAAAAGGCAGTACAGCATCACTCAAAATTTGCAGTTAAAATTCAGAGATTCTGGTTCAAACAGCACTAACTTACTTGCTGTGCTATCTTACATAAATTACTTAACCTCTCTGAATTTCATTTCTTCAAAAGCTGCAATGCAACTCACAGATTATGGTTATGACTAAGTCAGATGATATTTGAAAGGGCTTTATCTACTTAAAAATTAGCGTGGGTTCCTTTCCTGGGCTATTACCATTTGCTTAGAGTCTGTCAGTTTAAAAATAAAATTTGTTTTATCTTCTAATACATATTAACCTTGTCTTCTCCTTTGTACTCCCCTCACCCCCTGGAAATATCTTATGATATATTTCAATTATCTTGTATTTTCATAGGATTGTGGTATGTACTTTCATTGCTTTATGTCACCTGTCAAATTGAAGATTTAATTCTTTACTTCCTTTTTTAGTTCATTGGTAAAAATAATAATGGCAAATATTTACAGAGTACATACTATGTGTCAGGCACTGCTCTTAGCTTTACCTGTTTAATTCATTTAATTCTCATAACAATCCTTGAGATAGATACTATTATCATCTCATTTTACAGATTGGGAGATGGAGCACATAGATGTTAAATAACTTGTCTAATGGTATATTTGAGTTTAATTTTGGTTCCAGAGGCTGGATTTTTAAAAAATTTTTTTTTATTGATTTCAGAGAGAAAGGAAGAGGGAGATAGAAACATCAATGATGAGAAAGAATCATTGATAGGCTGCCTCCTGCACACCCCACATTGGGGTTTGAGCCCGGAACTCTGGCATGTGCCCTGACCGGGAATTGAACCATAACCTTATGGTTCATAGGTTGATGCTCAACCACTGAGCCACTCTGGCTGGGCCAGAGGCTGGATTTTTTTTTTTTTATCATTATGTTATTTTTCTTCTAAGAATATAATTTGATCTTTTTAAAACTGTCACCTTCACTTTTTAAAATAAAAATAGAGCATTTTTAAAAATGAGAATTTATGAATATATATTTTTCAGCCTTTATTTTTTTTTGCTAGATGTTATAATATGAATATTTTTTTCAAGGAACCCTGCCTCCTACCAGCCATGATCAGTGAGGGGACAAGGTTCTTTCATATCATATTGCTGTTGTATCCTTGACTCTGACCTCTACCAGGCTGATGCTGGGGCTTTAGTATCATGTAGCTTCACAGCTTTGTAGCTCAGGTGTCAGGTTCCCTCTCTCTGAGCCTCAGGAACAGCACTTCTAGTTCCCTATTATTGTCAGATTCCTGCGCAGGGATCCACACACCTCCAAGTCACCTGTCTCCTTCCAGTAAATAGCAGGACTGGCATGTGCCCTCTGCTCACAACACCAGGTACACCTACTCAGCTTGTACTCTCCCTCTTTTAAGGTCCCTGCTCAAGTGTTGCTTTATCACAGTGCTCCTCCTACTGGCCCACCTGAAGTAAAATATCTGATGTAAAATGTTGAAAAACAACTTTCTCCAGTCCCTGCACTGGCAATCCTTATTAGTGCTACTCCAGTTAAAATGTTACATACACATATCAAAACCTAACATAGAATTTACATATGTATCTAAGTTTCTATATATTTAAATGTATCTATGTACCTATGCACCCATCATTCTACCTATCTATTCATCCACCTAATGTATATAATATCATCTGATCTTGGACTCCATCTTGTTGCAAGCAGATATGGCCAAATGCCACAAGGAACTCATGTAATACACGCAGTCTTATCATCAACAGATATGAGCATCTTTTCCTCATTCTCCCCCCAAAAACCTGTATGACCCCAAACCTGGAGAATTTCCTAGAGGGATCACTGATTCACGTTTGTGTCACCATCCAGAAGGAGATTCCTAGAGTAGGATTATTAATTGGAATATGTGTTCAGAAATTTGTACTAACCTTAACCAAAGCTATAGTGACTCTGACAACTCTTGAGGCTCAATAAATAAATCTACATATTTTAGCCTATGTGATAATACCTTTTGATTTTCTATTAGCTAGCCAAGTGTGTTATACCTGTTATTGCCAGCACTTTTTTGTTACACTTGGATAAATATAGAAGCGAGATGGAACAATTCATCTCTAAACTGAAGAAGAGGGTTTACCTGGCTCGCCAGGCGGGGTTTATAGATCCAGGGACACATTAT